TGGGTGTGTGTGTGTGCTGTGTGTTGTGTGTGTGTGTGTGTGTGTGTGTGTGTGTGTGTGTGTGTGTGGTGTGTTGTGTGTGTGTTGTGTGTGTGGTGTGTGTGTCGTGTGGTGTTGGTGGGTGTGTGTGTGTGTGTCTGTGGTGTGTGTGTGGTGTGTGTGTCTGTGTTGTGTCTGTGTGTGGTGTGTGGTGTGTGGGTGTGTGTGTGTTGTGTTGTGTGTGTGGGTGTGTGTGTTGTGTGTGTCTGTGTGCTTGTGTGGTGTGTGTTGTGTTGTGTGTGTGGTGTGTGTGTGTGTGTGTGTGTGTGTGTGTGTGTGTGTGTGTGTGTGTCTGTGTGTGTGTCTGTGGTGTCTCTCTGTGTGTGCTGTGTGTGGTGTGTGTGTGTGTGTCTCGGTGTGGTCTCTGTGTGTGTCGCTGGTGTTGTTCTGGTGTCTCTGTGTGTGTCCTTGTGTGTGTGTGTGTGTGTGTGTCCTGTGTCTCTGTGTGTCTCTGTGTGTGTGTCTCGTGTGTTCTTATTTGTTGTGTCTGTGTGTGTGGTGTGTGTCTCTGTGTGGTCGGTGGTGTGTGTGTGTGTGTGTCTCTCTGTGTGTGTGTGTTTCTCTGTGTGTGTTCTCTGTGTGTGTCTTGTGGTGTCTCTGTGTGTCGTGTGTCTCTGTGTGTGTCTCTTGTGTGTGTCTCTGGTGGTGTCTCGTGTGTGTGTGTGGTGTCGTCCTTTGTGTCTTCTCTGTGTCTGTCTCTGTCTGTCTCTGTGTGTGTGTCTCTGTGTATGTCTCTGTGTGTGTCTCTGTGTGTGTGTGTGTGGTCTCTGTGTGTGTGTGTTGTGTGTGTCTCTGTTGTGTCCTGTCCTGTGTCCCCCTCTCTGTGTTTTGGCTCTCTGTGTGTGTCTCTGTGTGTGTCTCTGGTGTGTGTCTCTGTGTGTTCTCTGTGTTGAGGGGTCTCTGTGTGGGTCTCTGATGTGTGTCTGTGTGTTGTGTGTCTCTTTGTCTCTGTTGTGTGTTCTCTGTGTTGTCTCTGTGTGTTTGTGTGTGTCCTCTGTGTTGTGTCTCTGTGTGTGTCTCTGTTGTGTGTCTCTGGGTGTGTCTCTGTTCACCGTGTTTCTCTGTGAGAATGTCCTCTGTGTGTTTCTCTGTGTGTGGTGTCTGGTCGCCTGTGTGTGTGTCTGGACTGTGGTGCTTGCTGTGTGTGTCCGTGTGTGGGTGTCTCTGTGTCTTCGCGTGTGTCTCTGTGTGGGTGTCTCGTTTTTTGCTCTGTGTTTGGTGTCTGTGTGGTGTGTCGTCTGGCATTGTGTGCCGTGCTTGTTGTGTGTGTGTTTTTCTGATCTCCATCTCCTGTGTGTGTCCTGTGTGTGGTCTGTTTTGCATGGCCTTGCGTCCTTTGTTTAACAATCGGCCAAATCGCTACTCGGATTGCTGTGAGCAAAACTGTCTCTGTGCGTGTCTCTGTGTGTGTCTCTGTGTGTGTCTCTGTGTGTGTGTGTGTCTCTGTGTGTGTCTCTGTGTGTGTCTCTGTGTGTGTCTGTGTGTGTGTCTCTGTGTCTGTCTCTGTGTCTGTCTCTGTGTGTGTCTCTGTGTGTGTCTCTGTGTGTGTCTCTGTGTGTGTGTGTCTCTGTGTGTGTCTCTGTGTGTGTGTGTGTTCTGTGTGTGTGTCTGTGGGTGTCTGTGTGCATGGCCTTGGCGTCTTTGTTTAAGCAATCGGCAATCGGCTACGCGGATTGCTGTGAGGCAAACGCAGCAACATTTATGAAGTACTCAAGCACAGCCCACAACGCGAACTGTAGTTCGCGTGGATCAGCGCTCTTGGTCTTCGCGGGGTTGCATGCAAATCGTGGCATGAAAATAGGCCCAAAACGGGCAGGCATGAAAATGTCACACATCCAGGCTTGCTTCGAACATCGATCAGACGAGCATGAGCACAACTTAACGGGGTGTAGCTCATGAGATTCAGACCATCGTCTTAAGTAGTCCCTTCCCCATAAAGGGTTACCCTTCGGTAGTACGAGGAAGGTAGGAATGCAATAGGAACGAGCAATCGAGGCGCATTCAAGCAGTTTCTTGGCTTCCCATCCTTTCTCTCTAAGTTCACTCCTCATTTCTTTCCAACCCCTGTTCTTGGAACCTGGAACACTCTGTTTTGCGGTGTTCGCAATCGGAACAGTGACAACACATACCACGTGCGTCGGAGGAACCCTTATGTTCGAAATGGCAATCCCTTTTACATTATCATCAAGACTGAGATTGACGTTTCGAGCATGAGGGGTTTTGATGATGCCCTCGCACCCGATATGGATACATTTGATCGCTGCACCAAATTTGTGAACATCGTCAACTGCGATACCCCCCTGACGAGACATATCGCGGATGAAATCGTTGAATGGTGTGTTGCCGGTTTCAAGATGTACCGCCCTGGTTGGACAGACAGAGGGGAGGGCAGGCAAAGCAGGAGCGGCAGAATGCATACCAGAAGAGATACGGGTACGTTTGCGGAAATGACCAATAGACATCAGATTACGACCCCACACACTTTTGCATCGGTGCAGGCCTTGGTCAAAATATCGCCGGCCTCGAACTGCGACGGACAAGTCACGAACAAGAAATCACCACCATGGTAGCGTTCGTTGAGCGCAGATATATCAATGCGCTGAGTGCGAGACATGTGACGCATGTTGGGATTATGACCAGTGATGATGACACGAATAGCAGCCTCATTATCGTCCATGACACGCAGACGGAATCGGTGGCCCAACATGTACTCCCACATAGAGAGAGCGGGCAGGCCCAACTTATAAACAGCGTGGTCAAGAGAGACAATCTCGGCTTCCGGAGTAGACTTCGAGCCAGAAGTTTGCTTCTTGGACAGAGCATTGAGAGGCATGAAACTGCGAGGACCAAGAAGACACATGAAAACTCAAGATGTGCTCTTAAAATCAGTGCGATCGCCCGCAAGATCGGCATCGCAATAGAGCACTAATTCCAACATCTCCGGAGAATCACCAATCCAACCATACAAATTAAATTAAGATCGAGGGTCGAATTGATGTAACACACCAAGCGATGGAGCTTCTTATCACACAGCCCATCCCACTTGGTGATGAGACTCGCAAGGGCCTGCACAGGACGAATAAGATCATACCGTCCCATGCGAGCACCGTAGAGAATCTTCATCAACACAGCAGCACAATCACCCAATTCACCCTTATCAGGCGGGATAGGGGTATCTGCGGGGTGACCCAACAGGCGAGTAACCGCGGGACGATTCGGATTAACATCGAACTCCGGTCGAGATTCGTCAGGAAAAGGAGTATCCGCGGATCGCAAGGTGGCCTTGTACTTGGGACCGCAGAGCTCGACGTAGCGAGAAACACACTGTTCCATGAATGATCGCATATCGTACTTGATCATCCGAATCTCGCGCGGACCAGTAGATCCCTGCGCAACATTGGTGTTTCGATCGCCAAAGGTGAGCTCCGGGAAAGCCTTCTTGGGCTCTTCGAAGTGGGTCCAATAAGATCGCGGGTCAAAGGGACCAGGAACAACATGAGAGAAGGTGACATGTTCACATCCCAAGTAGCGTTTAATGCTCGATGGTGGTTCCAACTTGATTTTAGAAGCCATAAGCTCCCAACCTCGTACCAAGTTGGCCTTGGGTCTACTGAGCTTGAAATCGTCAACGTAGACAACGAGCATAAGATTCAGTTTCGGGTGTCGGAACACGCTCTTCCAATCGGGGCACTGTTCGAAGCCAACCGATCGTAGGGCCTTCTCACAGTGGTGCTCCCAGAATCCGCCAGCGTCGGGATGCCCATAAAGAGCCAATACCAGACGCACCACAGGATCGTGATACTTCCCGATCCTTAGGCAGACGCACCCACGTAGCAGGACCACCAAGCTTCGCTTGAGTATAGGCGGACTCGCCGTCCGCGACCTGGATTTCGTGACCAGGCAGGAGACCGAATGCGTCAGCAGCCTTGCCGGCCTCCATGGTCGCTGGGCAGGAAGTAATTTCAGAAAAGATTGCCCAGTTGTTGCCTTCGTCCTTGACATGAGAGCCTTCGAAGACAACGCGACCCTTGAACTTCCGATTGGGATCGGATTCAGGGGGTTCAGAATTCTTCTCGACACAAATGTCGAAGATGCGACCGACATGTGCGGTTTCACCTTTCGACACGGCCTCGTTTGAGACATCACGCCATTCGCGCACAGACGCGTAATCCCAACACCCTTGATTGATGAGCTTATTCCACTCTTTATCAAGTGCAGCTTTAGCCTTGGGGTTGACAGCGCGCTCCTTTCGATCAACGGGCCTGGCGACACAAGCACTATAGAAGAACACTGATGAATCAGGCGATCGGTGCCCATGGGGTTCAGACCGAACGGGCATTCCAGGCGCAGCCTCCATCTCAAATGCGACTTTGGACGGCCTCGCTGGAACCGCAATGCTATCGTCGTTGTCAGCCGAAAATTCGAGTTCAACCGCAGCCAACACAGATGTGTAAAACTGGACAACCGCCACATCCTGTCCAGACTCGATAGTCACATCAGAGTCATGCAGTAGGAGTAATAATATCGACACCCGATTGCGTAGCGCCCTCATTGTAAGTATACATGGCCGGACATACATCGAGGCTACTTCCACGGAGGGGCTGCACGCGAGCGGACATTCCAATCGGCGGGTCAAATTCAAGATCTGTGACGATGCATGCTCGCGACTTGGCAGGAATAACACATCGTGCCTTTGCCCGCAGGGCATGGCCATAATAGCCATTGGCAGTTTCCACACGACGTTCGGTACCATCCTTACTCGGCATGGAGGTACGAACCTTTACTTGCGTTTTGGCAGAAGGCCCAATGACGAAGATGGTCCTACCAGTCCAACGACAGGGAAGCGAACGCGTATCCGCAGCCAAGACTTCGCAGGCGCTATGCTTCGAAAGCGTCAGCTCCAAAACGCAAGCATCACTTCCCAACGTCTTGGCGTCAACATCGTCGAGCAAAACCTGCTCTCTCCATAGCACAGCCTTCATGTGAGCCCTATGTCTTATAGTTCAAATTCCTCTCGCGATTAAGGGGGCCAATGACGGGCTCTGGGAAAGCGGGTTTCAGTATCCCCAAATGGTACTGTCTTCCGCTTGACCGTTGGACACGCCATATCGAATGATGCGGCACAAGCGAGTGCGAAGTCCTCAGAGGAGGACGCTGTCAATGCCTGAGGGTTGCGGCACGCCCCTCTCAAAAATCCGAGGGCGTGGGCGCCGGGCTGTCGACCCGACACGCACTTGGCACGGGCTCAACCGGTGCAGGAGCGGCAACCGTGGTACTCTCGGCAGGGGCACCAGGCTTCACATGCTTATAAGGGCATTTGTCACCTTTGGTACAGGTGCCACGCCCATAATAGAAGCAAATGCCAGGCTCCTTTGAAATCGGCGATTTTGATCTAGGTGTGAACCCTTTGGGCGATGAGCTTCTCCCCCCAGGTTGCGGGAGAACTTACACCCGCTCCCTCGCGTGCATCTGCCATTCTTGAAATCGTAACGGACTTCTCTGCCACGCGGCGACCGGAATGGGGATCGTCGTGGGGGAGCGGGAGCGGCACGCCCGGGGCTGCGGGAGTACCGCCTTGGGGAGCCACGCCTCGGAGAGGATCGCCTCGGCGACGAACGTCTCGGCGAGCTCCTCCGATGTGGACTTCCTCTCCTAGAGTCACGGCATCCTGGCGACCGAGATCCCCTCTTTGATCGTGAGAAGGATCGGCGGGGACTGCCGTGCGCGGGCGCAGCATACCGTCGCTGAGCAGAGGATGATCGTCGTGATCGTGTTGCAGAATACATCTTCTCCTGACTGCGTCGTCTGCGCCAAGTGGTAATCGCATTGACACATACGGTACGCAGATAGGCGTAATTCCGCACCGATACATCTCTATCCCAGAGCTGCATATCAAGTTCAAGGCAGCGGAATTCTCGTACCTGCTCATAGAAGAGAGCACAACGCATCTTGTCATCAGGGCGATCGACAGAGATGCCCGCAAGGACATGGCCCCAACTTCCCAACGGTTGGTGAAGGCTTCAAGCCGCTCTTGCTCGGATCCACGCGTAAACCGGTCAATCGTGGTCTTCACAAGATCAACGAGCTTGAACGTCGAGTCGCCAGTGACATGTGGTTGGAGGAAATCGTACAACAACCCTACTCCCGAGGCGCCGATTTATCGTGTCCATGCGCTCGGTTTCAGTCTGAATCTTGTTCTTCAGTGCGATGGACTTAATGCACTCACGGAACGCCGAATTGCATTCGTTCTCGAGCATCCCATACTTGCATTCGTCAATAAGGTCCTCGTATCGACTGCCATCAGGGATCTCAACCCACGTGAGTGCATACCCTGGATCGTCGGCGAATGCATTCGCAACCCGTTTTTTCATATCGACAATCCAGCGTCGAAGCTGGGCGGGTTCAGGCTCCGAGTCGAGCCGGAAGGACTTGCATTTCGCCTTCTTTGCATCGCTGAGCGATCCATCACCCTTGGATGCGCCAGGCCCTGAATCGTTAGTGCCCGGCGGATTGCCAGTCTGCCTTTCCAAGCAGACCAGACAAATTCTCAAGGGATCGCGGCAGCAACCGTTGCAGCATGAGAATCGACATGATATGCATTCGAATGCATCGCTACCACTCGGTCTGCCACTGGGTCGGACGCTCGGAGGATCCAGGCCTCCATCAGGCGGGCCTCCGCCATCAGGCGGCCGCTCGGCGGACCACCGCCTCCACCGGGACGAAATCCGGATGGTGGGTGTCCACCACCTCCGAATCCGGCGCCATACGCACCACCATCATCGGGGCCGTTACGGCTAGGAGGGCAACCGTGCCCGAACGGATTGTCCGCTCAAAGCGCAGAGCTCGGCGCAGGGGCGGACGTTCGTGCGTTGAAGGTGGGCATCGGTGGCACAGCATCCGCAGTCGTTGGCCGAAGCGTGGTAGAAATAGTCGCATTCGGTGCCAGAGTGTAAGTGCCAGTTTCAGTGTGAAGAATGGGCGCACTGTGGCACTATCGCCCTCGAGGCTTGATCGACCGAGCATGGCATTGTACCACCTAGACGGACCCTTTCCCAGCCGGGACAGTGCGCGTGTCGTAAGATCTGGCATGGAAACATCGGGCTCCATCTTGGCCCAGAAGCGAAGGTACGCACATCGGGGACAGACCCGACCTCGTGACAAAGATCCCTATACTCAGGGGCAGGCCTGAGGCTCTGAGCACTTCCCGATGTCGCTCCAGCGGCATTCGCGGAAGGAACGGCGATATTCGGAGATCTTCCCGAAAAACATGCAGACATGTGGCCAATATTCTGTTGAATCGGCTCGACAAGATTATTGTGTCCACGACTTTCGCTGAGATGTTCGTCAGCGACTCGTTGCTGGGCTCGCCTCAAAATCTCATCAAGATTCGGGCAACTCGTCTGAGATTGCACCGTTGAAGCCTTTTCAGCAGGCGCAGCGTTACACCCAGGCGTAGAGCCATGATCAACCGGACCTAGCAGCGATGATCGAGGGATAGCAGTACTGTGCCCGCCAGGGAATAATGCGCCGGGAACTGGCGGCAAGTCCGCAGGGCGCTGAATATCACCGTCATGATCGCTGATATCAAAGAACTGTGTTCGTTCCTGCCGCGAAGGCGTCGATCTGTCAGAAACGGCCCTTCGTACGTGGGCGTCCTCAAGATGCAGGATACGAGTCGCAAGGTGATCGATGAGAACGCGATTACTCTCCTTATGATCGTGAAGAGCTCGGCTCATTTCAGTCAATTTCAGTCCTGATAACCTCGATTCGGTGGGTAGCATTCTGCTCAACCGCAGCGATGCACGCTTCAGCATTCGAGATGTTGATCTGGATTTGCTGTAGCGCATCAGGATACTGCTTGATGTGGCGGATCGTTTCAGCAAGCTGCATGGACAAAGATCCAGCACGCTTCTCATTAAATCGGTGGATCCGCTCATCAAACTCGATGAATCGATCGTTAACCATCGAGTTGAGCCTCGCAAAATGATCTTCAAGCGATTCGCGATCAGAAATTCGCCTTTCGCGAAATGAGTCCTGGACGCGCGTGATCCGATCACGCTCGTCCCTCAACTCGGCTTGAAGAAGCTCCCACATGTCAGAATGTCGAGGTCGGCTTGGGTGTTGCTTACACCCTGCGCAATCGCCAGGATATCGGCGGCGATACGCGCGGATGCATCGGACCCGATAGCCTCATCGACCAGGGCCCTGTCAGAACAGGAGCCCACAAGCCTCCCGCCAATATCGTGGACGGGGGCAACACCACCACGACCCGGCGTTGTAATGATGCTGAGCTCTCTGATCGTCCTCAGCAGGCGGCGGAGCAAGCAGCGAAGCGGAGCGAGCGATCGAAGCGTGCGAGGCGTGCGCAGTGCAGCGGGATTCGTGGGCATTGTCATCGGGCTCCACAGCATCCCGTGCAACTGGCGTCACTAGTGAAGAACCGACAGTCGAAGGGACACGAGGAGAACCGATCGGAGTCGCCATTCTCTCGGCGGCGCGGCCAATCACAAGTTCCGAACTTGGTCTGAGCCAGGAAGACGGTAGTGATCGGACGCTGATTGGATCAGGCGTTCCGAATGCCAAAGCAGCAGCAGCGAAGCAGCAATCCACAATCGGATGCAGAGGTCCTACGGCTGATAACCTGTGAAAAGCAGAGGATTCCACTTAACTCTCGGTCGCAAAGCCCTGAGCAACCAATCGTAGATCGTAGCAGTGCAACAGCAATAAGCAAAGCACAGGACGATCGGAGATTAATGCCGTAAGGTTGACGCTCAGCAAGAAAGGAAACACCAACACTACCCTAAGTGAAGGCGGGCCTTTTGCTGGTACTCGCGTGCGAAGACTAGTCACTTTTCCGCAAAGCCGTAGGCTTGGTCCAAGGGGCCCCTGCGGTAGAGGGGAACGTCTGAAAGCTGTACAAAACGCTAGGTACACACACTGTACGCGCTGCAAAACAGGTTAGTTTCACACCCGCGACTCTTACAGCGTCAGTGTGGTGAGACTTCGTGCTCAAGGATCAACGGTCTTGCTCGTTGTCCTCTTCCTTCTTCGTCGACCTCCTCTGAAGCTGCTTGGCGCGCTTCTTCACGACACTCTCGAGCGGCTGCTCTACGTCGAGTGTGTTGGTTTTCAGAGCCTCAACCAACTTGACCGGCTCCATGACCTTCGTCAATGGATCAGCGATCATCACGTCAGTGTCAATCCATCTGACGATGTCAGTTAACTGATCATCCGCTGGTTTGTAGTCGTCGTAAAACGGATCTCCTGCTTTCTCGCCAGCTTTGCGCCATAGCTCCTGTCTGAGAGACGCGATCTCGATACTCAATCTCTTGTCCGAATGCTTATTGCATTTCGGATTCGAAAGCGTCAGCTCCAGACTCTTACAGTCTGTCTTGGCCGACGTAGCCTCCCACCTTTTCATATCGAGGCATCCGAAGATGTCAGTGACAGCTGCTCTCAGCACGTCACCGTCCTCCACACCTGCCTGAAGTGTGTAGGCCTCTGCCTGTATGGTGGAGCGACATACCCTCCGAACGAGGTTGCTCGCCCACAAGATGGGATGAATGCTACCCCTGTTCCCTTTCCACAGGGCGCCGTCTGTAAGAAACACCATCCTTGCACCTTGGCTCCGGTGTCCTTCCACAGATGTCATCTCATTTATGATCATCTCTTCGGACTCATTCGCGTGAGAAGCGTCCGTGATCACCAGACTCAAAAGAGCACCTGGTGTCTTCCAGTCCAACAGCCCGGACTTGAAAACAAGTCCTCTGTCGTAGGTGCTAATAGCGTACTCGACCGCTTTGTTGGCATCTCTGATGTCAGCGACGGTACCATTGCTAGAAGCCGACTGGATCTTGGATACCCTATAGCTCAAGTCGGGTCGGCATTGCCTGCAAACCCAAGCAAGGGACCCCGCGACGCTCTTCATCTGCGTCTTGTCAGAGTCCGTTAAGGGATCTCCCGGGTGCCTCCTCTTGTCAACGTGAATCTTGTTCACGTTCCTCGTTGTCTCGCTGCAGGTCACATGGATATTGAAATCCTCGTCTTGGCTTATCTCCTTCCCGCAGTACCTGAAGCTCCCGGTCTTGACCTTTCCACATTTGAACGTCTCAATAAGATCGTTCATGATCCAATCACATGACGGATCACAAGCCCACAATAGATCGTCTACGTGGGACGTCAAGAGCAACTGTACAACCCCATCGGCGTCGGTGTAACTGTACAAAGCGCGGTAGATGCGGTTCTCGCGGAGTCCTTTACCCTTAAGGTAATTCCTAAGCCGCTTCCAAAACCGTCTACCACCATCGGTGCTGCCGTAGATGGGTGCTCTCGCCAGCATGTGCTGGTGGGGCTTGAGCCCAGGGAGTCCTCCCTTGGGCTGAGATAGTAGAAGTACTCTATCTATCTCCTCGCCTTGAAAATAGGCGTTGGTCACGTCCAGGGACTTAATCTTGACCTTCCTAGAAGCCGCAAACGAAAACACTAAGTTCTGAGCTTCTATGCTAGCAGTAGGGCTATCACTCCTAGGATCACCCTTCTCAAGATCACCCCGAACAACCAATCTACTCTTGTAGTTGGCCTCCACGGTAGGATCAAGTAACCTCTTGTTGTGGTTCTTGTCCAGCTCTACCCATTGGGTAGGTATGACTTGATGTCCTTCACGGATCAACTCATCATACTGAGCGTCATCAAGAATGATCGCAGCACTGAAGTCCTGCCACTTTGCCCACTCCTTGGCTCTGCTCTTGTCCAGTTCCTTCTGAACATCCTCAGGGCATTTGTGGTACATTAGGATCTTCCCGTGCTTCTCCTTCTGTTTCTTGGACGTAAAGTTCTTGCGGCGCTTGCGCCACTGCGTCACCTTCTTGTCGTCCTCGACGCGGTCTGCGAAGAAAACCCGTAAGGCCTCGTACTCCTTTTCCCCGGGGAGTGAGTTCCAAACGGTTCTTTCCTCTTTCGTCCAGAAGTGGCTGGCGTAAGCCCTCAGAAGAAGCGCTGAGCTGCCTTCCGTGGCCTCGGCCTCACCATCGGCGTCCACCGCCGTGTCCTCAGCCATCGGCTCTTGGATCCCTCCTGAAGGGTCCACCTGTTCGTCCTCTGGCTCCTCCACAGTCACGGCCCGTGACTCTTCACGTGTTGCTCCAACTCTCCTTCGAACAGCTCGTTCTGGAGCAGCGGCCGCAGTCTCTGGAGGATCTGCTTCGGCATCCATTTGGATCGGAGTACCTATCCCAATTCCTCCGTCCGGTGGCTCTTCTGGGTCGTCTAGTACTAGATCATCCCCGGTGGCATCAATGTACCTCTGCTGCTCGCGCTCAACCTCCGCGTGCTCGTACTGTATGTTGCCACGGTTCAACACTTGGAACGCTAGAACCTCAGCGATGTGCACGGTCTGAGTCGTGCCAAGCTGGTCGCCACAGGTACGCCCTGATGCACCACCCAGACTGTTTTGTTATCGAAGCCGATTATTTTACTAACAGTCGACCACGTACTGACACCTGAGTGCTCATCTCGCGCGATCCTATAGCAAACTAGGTCGCCAGCTTGGTATTTCCCCGGCAGGGGAGCCGCTTTTCGCAAAACGGTCTTTCGTACCCTGCGACTGCAGTCCTCATGGACGAATGCCTTTCTGGCAGTGTGGCGGAATTCGGCCTGGCGGCCGAACGCAGTCGTGGCATCTGACCTGCCCGACAAGACTCCAAGCTGTCCTAGCTCTTCCTCGTCCAAAACGTGGCCCACTCCTCTGGGCAGGCGTCCAAGCACCCACTGGGTGGGGCTGAAGCCTCCAACACGCATGAACTCGTTCTTTGCGACCTGCGCCTCGAGCATCGCCACCTTGACATCATCTTTGCCCACAACGTTGTGGTCCTTGACCAAACGCTTGAAGGCTCGCTTTATGATGCCTCCATGCCTTTCGCACTTTCCTATGTGCTCAGGCGATTCCAGTCCGGCTTGGCGGATCTGGACTCCATGGCTACCCAAGCCGTGAGCGAAAGCGCCCCGGTTGTGTAAACCACGGTCGTGGGAAACCACCTTTGGCCACCCAAAAGGGGAAACCCAGTGCTGCATGAACTTCTGCACGCGGACCAAGGTCACAACTTGATAGCTTGTGCCGACATCTATAATGTTCAGCCAGCTAAACTTTGCGCCTGTTGAGTCTGCAGTCTCCAGCACGTCCACCGAAACTGTGTGGTTGAACTCGTAAGGTGGTGGAGCTGACACAGGGTGTGTGCAAACCTTCTCTTCGCTAACCCTGCAAGACTCACACTTGAAGATCTTAGCTGCATTCACCAACTCTTCAGAAGCACCTGCCCCACGGAGTACCTGCACTAGCACCTCCTTAGGCTTGTGGTTCATCATGGTGTGCAACCTCCTGATCCCCAAGCGGACACGCCTTGGCACCTTAGACCACGCCTTCCTCCTTTCAGACTCTTCCTTCGGAAACCCTGCTAGAGGCAACGTGTCTAAGATGTCTGCTTCTTCGGCGAGTTCCAGATCATCCATAAAAGTGGTCCTGTTGTCTCTAAGATCCACTATAGCATCTAGAGTACCAGATTGCTCGACCTCATCCTGCCTTGCCTCAACAGGAAACGCTTCAGCAACGTGGTCCTCTACACAGCCCTCTTGCAACACAAGCAACAAGGTTTCGGCAAAACCAACTTGCGTGCCTACTGTGTCGATGCTCACAGGTGAGTAGTGTATGTCATGGTCACAGTTCGCCCAACTAGACATGACTTCACCTATCGCCTGCGAAAACGTCCCTACACACAGGTCACCCCTACACTGAAACAACTGAAACTCTCTCTCAGTACCCTCGACACTGTTCTCGAACCACAGGTTCCACCTAACGCTGCCTAGGCTGTCGAGAACAAGCACTTCTTTTGTGTACGCGGAGAGGGACTGGAGCCAGGTTTGTACCTGCGGGGTGAGACCTACCTGGTCTTCCAAACTGTACACCAACAGCAGGAGGTCGGGACGGATCTTAGCAATCTCTTTAGAGATTTGCTTCTGCCAACCGATGTCCTCCAGAAGGATCATACGGTAGCCAGGGTGACGCACGATCACCTTAGCGCCGGTCCTCTCAAGGGATCCGGGCTGGAACTCCGAGCTCGCCAGGGCAAAGATCGTGGGCGGCTCGCCCGTGATCGCCACCGACGGGAGCCCCAAGGCCTGCATCAGCAGGTCGTCGTGCGTGTTGAGGTTCTTGCAAGAATCCTCAAACATCTTTCCGGTCTCCTTCTTCATCACCTTCAGGTCGGAAGCCATGAGATCCGGAAGCATGCCTCCAACGTAGAAGGCACTGCCACCGCGTGGCGGAACCAAGAACACCAGCATGTGGCGCGGGTGCTGGTCCCAACGGTCGCCGAAGTAAACCCATGAGTGGGCGGCCGCGTTGGTCTCGCGCCACTCCCAGGGCCCATCGGGCGTCCATTGGATCGCCACGTGCTTGCGGTAGCGCTGCAACTCCGTCGGGATCTTATCCCAGGACTTCGCAGCGTGTGCCCTGTAGGACACGCGAACCGGCGGTCCGGCTCCCTCGTGACCCACACCTGGTTGCAACCAGGTTTTGAAAGCAACTTCTCCGTGCCTCTTGTGTCCCGAAATGACCTGGCTCAAGTAGGCCCCCGTAAGGTTGCCCGGGTAATTGGGGTTCTCCCCCAAACTGGCCAGGTCGTGACGGGTCCCTGCGTGAGACGTCGAGGCAGGATCGGACTCCGTGTGAGTCCTTGGGCCTCGAGGGTTGTTGTTCGGCCAACGTCCTTTGTCTCCTCGGCCCTTTCCTTTTCCTTTCTCACCTTTTCCTTTCTCTCCTCGCCCGTCGGCCTGTGCCGATCGGGTCCTTTCTCTTGGCGGTGGGTCCGCCGCCTGAGCGGTCGTCCTTCCAGCTGTGGTTGTGCCAGGTGGTGCCGCGGCCTTGTCCTCGTCCAGCTGGAGGATCGCCTGGTCACGTCCAGGCTTCGGTTCGCCAGCTCCAGGTCGGTGTCCCACTCTTTTTCCGTCCGCTTTCCGGATCGGACGTCTGCCACCAGCGACGACAGGAGTGCCTTCGCCGCCTCGTACTCCAAGTACTTCGCGGCAACGGCACAGGTGAGCGAGGTGTGGTCCGCCGCGTACTTGGCAACGAGCGTAGTGACTTCTGTAAGCTTCGCTGGGTTGAAGACACTATAAACCCTAGAAAGAAAAAGAAAACTTACCTTCTCAAGGGACTTGTCATCTAATCCTTCCAGCTCGGGGCGCAAGTCGTGGACTGGCACCGACACTCCGTCAGGGGTGTCCACCGTGAAAGGCTGCGCCTGTGCCTTCGAGCTGGCACTGGCCTCGGCTGCCCCAGCGGTGTCCTCCTCGTCGTGGTCCTTGTCTCCGGGCTGCTCGCCTTGAGCGGCCTCTTCCTTGACAGCCGAGTCAGGCTGCGGCGTCGATCCCGCGCCCGCTGCCTGAGCTGTCCCCGAAGGGATCGGCTCTTCCACCACGACGCCATCGTCGCCTAAAAGCGGCGCTGGCCATCCTTTCGCACCCACACCTTGGGCACGAATTCGAACCAGCGCGAAGTCCATCACCTTCTCTGCGGTGCTTTTAGCCTCCTTGGACTCCCAGTTGCACTCCGCGCAACCACCGCATAGGTATCTCCAGTTGTGTCCGTCGCAAAGGTGAAGAAGCTGCGCTTGCACTTCGTACGTCTCCTTTATGAGATCGTACATGATCTTTGCATTCGAGACAGACCTGTGCCTGCCCGATTTGCAAAACATAAAGATCACGCACTACTCGTCCTCGTTCTCCTGGATGAGCTTGTGCACGGCCGGCACGACCTCCTTCATGAACGCCACCCACTTGCCATTTCTCTTCTGGTCCAAAACCATGGCTTGCACGTTCTTGGGGTACGTGCCTAAGTGGTCCCTGAGGGACTTGTCCTTCCCAGGGTCGTTCATGTGCCGGCAGTCCAGGAAGAGGATCTGCTCCGTGGCGTAGTCCCGGAAGGATTCAAAATTCTGGCGCAGGCTTTCCAGAAGCGTGTCTTCGTGGGCTTCGTTGTTCAGCGAGAACTCGTGCGACTGCCCCTTCCGCATACTCCGGAAAAGTTCCGTGAGTCCACAGTAGGTGCCGCGTCCACGCTGGCAGGTCTCGACCTTTTCCAGGCCCAACGTGACCACCAGAACCTCCTTCCGCTGTCCTTCGGCCTCCTTCACCATCTCGGACAGCATGTACGCCGTGCTGTCCTTGTCCCCTGAAGGGATCAAGGTCTCTTCCTTGAATGAGGTCCCGTCCCTCAAAGGGATCGAGAACGTGTTCTTCTCCTTCTTGGATGTCCTCTTAGGGATCACCTCCGGCTTCACTGCAAACTTTCTGTGCCTCTCTGTGACGTTCGCCCCAAACTGGCTCACGCACAGGAGGAGGAGGCCAGTCTTCGAGTGCCTCGCCAACTGCAGTGTCCCGGCGTAACCCGAGATTCGGCACTCGCCACGCCTCAGGTCCTTGATCAGGCCAAGCTGAACCTGATCCTGCAAGGACAGGAGGCATAGCACGTCCGGAGAGTCCAGCTCCACGCTGGAGAGCTCTCCCTGCAGACGGGTGCTCCGGCGAAGGCCTCCGCTCTCCGGCATGATGCGGAGGGCGAACGGCATTGCGAACTTGCCCGTCGCTCGAGCCGCTCCAATGCCCTTGAAGCTCGTGCCGCTCGAGCGCACGCTGGTGAACTGCAACCCAAACTTTGCCAGGACCTTTGAGGAGTGAGCCCTCCATTTCGTCCCGTGGCAAGTCTGGTTGCAGCCCTCGTCCAGCATCACCCAGACGTTTTCGTGGTCCTCTAAGGGATCCACGAGCTGGAGTTGCGGCTCAGCAATCTCCTCGTCCAGGGGTGCAGGCTCACTGTCTGAGCTCTGCACGCTCTTCGGGCTGATGTCTCCTTCGAGATCATCCTTCTGCAGCTGCCCCACCAGAGCGGTGAGCGTCAGCTTGGTGTCCTCTCCAGGATCACCTTCCTTGTTCACCGTCGCCACGCCGGCGAACTTCTCTCGGCTTCCCCAGCCCTTTCCGCTGGGAGGCGACGCCGCCATGGCGTCTCTAACAGCTGCGCCTCTCTCCCTCGGGCCAGCTGCTGCTGCGGCGGCGGGCGACGCATGCTCACGAGGCTGTGCACTCCTACGCTCACGACGCACAGGAGAAAACGCAGGCAAAGGTGGGGGCTCTACTTCCTGACTAGACCTAGCTACGTCAGCTGCCCTACCATGTTGCATGCGTAACTTCGTTTGCTCTACAACTTGGTCCATTGCATCCTCAAGGCAACTAGACAACTCGGTTGAACTGACGTTGTCAACTTTCAACAAAAACTTGTCCATGTGCTTGAAGAACTTCTTAACCACCTCACCTGCCTCAAACTTCGTAAAGTTGTACTCCTCCAGCTGTCTCCTCGTGAGGTTCTGCACCTTGAGTGGAGACTGCTGCACCTGCTCGGCGAGTCCCTTCTGCTCCTTAAAGAGCTTCTGCGGGATTTCCTCTACCACAGTGCAACAATCAAGGCAAAAGGTGCGGTGTACCGATCTCGTGCTGTTCCTGTTGTCTGTGCGCTTGTGCTCGCACGTGAGGGGGTCGTTCTTCGGTACAGCCTTTGGTCTCGGGTTTGAGGTCCGGGTGCCGCACAACATGCAAGTAGTCTTGATTACATGCGCGTTGCTACCGGCTTTGTTCAGAGCGTGTGCGGGACAGCCGCCAACACACGGTCCTTTGGGATCCGCCTTCAACAACCCGAGCTTGCTCTTAGGTGCCTTCTCAAAGGTCACCTCCTTCCTAGCCTTCTGCAGCGAGTCGGCCTCCACCGGCAACGTGACCGCCCTGAGTGTAGCCCTTCCACCGCCGACCGGTGGAACCTCAAAGTTGCGATACACCCAGATAAGCCATGCTTCTAGCATGGTGCTCGGCTCTTTCTCCTTGAGGCCCCAATAGTAGTAATCGGGGTGGTTCTGCAAAACCTCAAGGTAGGTGCTACCCCTGTGCATCCCGAACCGAAACACCTGGTCGCTGCCATCAGGGTACTCTATGGTATCCCATTCCGTGGAGGGGGCGCCTTGCGACGCAAAGTCGTCCAGGAGCTCTTCGTCGGACTCTTCAAAGTCGGTCCTGTCGAAGAAACCCATGTACGCCGCAGGCTCCGTCTCAGAGTCCTGACCCAAGCTAACGTAGTTCGCTGTTGGCTCCGGGTCAAAGCCTTGACTCTCGCTGTCGCTCTCGCTGGGGCTAGCGCTGAAGTCGCAGGTCTGTGTGGATTTATCCATCACACGCCTGACCTGGGCAAGGTGTGCCACTGCAGGCTTTCCTGCACCTTTCCCTGGGCCTGGGCATTCCTTGTCACCAGCCCAGTGGCCCTTTCTGCCACACGTTTTGCACGTGCTCCTGAGTTTAATCTCATGGAGCTTCCGTCTCCTGTCTTCAACAGTGAGACCGGTAGATCTCGGCCGATATCCATGTGCACTCTTCTGCATCACAGACTTTCCTTTACCCTTAGCCTTGGCCCGCGCCATAAAGGCAACGGTCTCGCACTGCACGGTGTCTGCGAGAAACGCCAAAGCCTCTTTGTCTTCCTCGTCGAACCCAGCGCCTATAAAGGCGGTGAAGACATCAATGGGCAACACACGCGGTGTCTTCCTCTCTGTCGTACACGGGGAGCTCCTCTCCGTGGTACGCCCAGTCCTGCCCATCACCGCCTTGGCCGTCCTGGTCCTCTTGGCCTGCCAGGTAGGCTGTTCCGTCGTCGTCTTCTTCGGCGTCAGGGTACTCGAAGAGGTCTTCCACGGCCGAAAGGTACGTGTAAGCAGTCCCTTTCTGGGATCTCTTGCCGTATCCTTTACCTTTTCCTCGGTCTCCCTTCCTGGGAAAACCTTTCCCTTTGCCAGTTCCGCCTTTGGCGGATGGCTGCTTTCGTTCCAACGTATGGATACGATTGTGCATGCGAATCAGTGATGCCTCGGCATCCTTCGTCGCTGTGCTGCCTGACATCGAGGTCAGCACCATGAGTCGCTCTTGCCGGGTGAGCCCGCTGTTGTCCAGCAACAAATCTGTCAGCACCGCTTCACTTATGTGAAGGGCCTTGTCCAATTGCTGAAGCTTGCGTAGCCACCGCTTGCGGCGGTCGATGTAGGAGATCATCGGCTCCCCCGGCTGTCGTGACAACATGCCGCCGACTTGGGTCCCTAACCGATAAAGTTCCTTCGTCTCTTGTTCCGCCAGAGGGAACAGGCGTTCTCTAACCGCCTCGATCACCTTGGGGATGTTCTGACTCGAGAACAGAACGTCGGTACCCAAATCTTCTGCGACAATGTATGCCTCGCTCCTTAAGGAGTCGAGGAACTTGGACGCAAGGTCGGATCTATCCTCCACCTTGGTCTGCTTCCACCTTGTCATAGCTCGGAACTCCCATTCGTGGAAGTCACGAACGGTTCCAGCATAGACTAGGAAGCCAAACTTCGTCAGGTCTGTGTCCAGATCCTGGTGTGGTCGATATGCCAGCGATCCACTAGCCATGGCGACCACACGCCCGCGCAGGGGGCGTACTATTGGGCTACGAGCTCTGGTTCTCTTAACCGAGAGCTCCGCTACCAGTGCGAAGACTAGTCACTTTTCCGCAAAGCCGTAGGCTTGGTCCAAGGGGCCCCTGCGGTAGAGGGGAACGTCTGAAAGCTGTACAAAACGCTAGGTACACACACTGTACGCGCTGCAAAACAGGTTAGTTTCACATCGTGCATGGGGTACTTGAGCTGTCAAGCTGCGTAAGTGAGACAAAGTTGGCATGAATCCTAACCAAGACACAGAAGCACATGTTCGCATGTCCGTGACAAATCACACCTCATACCTGCAACGTGTACGTATAAAAATAAACTTCAGCATCTGGAGTACCAAAACATGACCCATCCGGCATCGCAAAGACTTTGGTTTCGTTGCTGGAGGCTTGGGAGAGGAAGGTTCCAAAATCTAAAATGCATTATGGGGAAAGCTCTGTTACGTTTTAGCCATACTACTGCCCTTGCACGTCACCATGTTTTGAAGGCAGTTTTCAAATGTGACAATCTGAATAAATGGCCTCTGTAAAGTAAAGTCAAGAGAAGGGGTTTAGTCCAACCGAGAATGATGGGTTCAGATGGGCGAAAGGTGGCGTGCACCCGAGACCCCGTGCTGTAGCTGACACAACCAGTGGCACATATGAATGTTGATGATTTTGATGTCCGTATGCGGATATGTGCGTCTTCAAGCTTTGCGCAGCTCGCTTGTCACGCATGATGCATGGATGTAACAAATGTGTAAAGATAGAAGTCCGCCAGGAAATCACACTGGCTGCAAGCATCTATGTCTTCTGTGAAAAAAGGTATTGTCCGAATTGGCTGCCATGGTTCTGTGAGAGTCGAAGTTGAAGAAGCATGTCGTCGCGCGCAACAGAACAGGCCAGTCAACCTGAGGCTTCAGTGCCCCCCTCAACAGGTTATGAGCGCCCAAGTGGCAAGAGGAGCGGGGACAGCGGGAACAGCTGTTTAAGAGGGGGAAAACTCGTGGTCCTGACTATGGAGCTGTTACTGTTACGAGTGGAGGTGTGGATGCGAGGAGCTCTCTTGCGAATGGTGTGGCACCTGCTGCAAGACAGGGGTCTCATCAGGAGGGTGTGAGCTCCGCTGCTACCGCGCAACAAACGAGTGGTGCTTCTGGTATTGATGTTCAGTTGAGTGCAGGACCCGGCCTGGCGCGACAACCGGAGAGGGAGCGACGCGTGATACGTACGTTGCAGCAGCAGCAGCAGCACCACCACCACCACCACAGCCATCAACAAACGCAGCTTCACAGGCACCTACCCAAGCCCAACAATAGCAGCAGCCCGTTCTTCGCCAACCAGCCCCTGGGAAACCGGAGTCAGAACGCAGGACAGCCTCTGATTCCACCGCAGTTGCGGTCTGCCGCGCAACAGCTCTCTCAACAAAGGGCTTCGGTGGCGCAGGCGGTGCAAAACAGGGCATCGAGGGCCTTGCATTGACGATCTCAGGAACCTGGACTGGCTGGGAATCCTTCTGCACCAAGGGCGGCTACGATGGCTGTGGGAACGGAGTGAAGCCACGGAGCAAACAAGCCGACAGGGATTATGAATGATTATGGTCAGTCACTCGAATCAGTGAGGTTTTTCATCGGCGGGTGGTTGCACCTGTCATGGAGCATGTCACTGGACCTCAGACGACCTCTACATCGTGGGCGTGGCATTCTCCTATGGCCCATACTACACCGACCTACACGCCGTTGATGTCTCGTGAAGTGAGACAAGCCATGGCAGACTGGACAGCTCAACTCAACCTACGACTTTAACGCCTCGGCCTCCTACGGCACCTGCGATTTGTGATGATGCAGGTTCCTCTGCGAGCATATCTCAAGAACAGATTATGGAGGGCGTCAAGAAGTAAGTGCAAATTGCTATGGCGGGCAGGGATACTGAAGTGAAAGACCTGAAAACGCAGAATCAGGAGCTAAAACAAGCTCTTGAGGTTTTGGCGCAATTGCTCCATGAGGTGATGTCTGCTGGTGGTGGCGGTGTTCAAGGGCAACTTCCTCGAGAGGCTCGCGAAGGGACTCCAGGCTACGAACCTGGACGCGATCTTGAGGGTGAAGGATTGAGTCCCAGAGAACCAAGAGAGGCTCCACCAGGACAAGGAGGGGTTCCACGTGTATCTGAAGGCAATCCGTTTACATGGGGCCGACCGAGTTCGCAGGCCACCAGAGTTGTAGGAGGAGAACAACCCAGCCTTCTGTTCCTCAGTTTGGTCCTCCAGCCGCGTGAGGCCGCGAATGTGGAAGTAAGTGCCCCTTTGGACCTCCTCGTTCAGGGTATGATGCAGTTGCAACAAGTGTCTATGGACAAGCGCGGCAGCACGGAGACGGAAAACCTGAAGGGTGTCACAGAGCTGGCACCTTTGCCCGAGATGACCGGTGAGACAGGAGCAGAATTCTGCGATTGGTTGTAACAAAAACAAACGATGTCAGACTCAGCAGCTCAACGGCATGAACGTACGCTGGCCTGTGCCAACGAAGCCTACGCCAGGTACCAGATGGCCTCCCGTTAGAGCGGTTGTCAGTGGCACCTAGAGTGGCTCCAGAGCTTCTGGAGCCGAAATGGGTGCTCCTGGACAGGAAAGTGATGTCGCTGATCCTCAATGCTATGCCGAAGGCTGTGAAAGAAGATGCTGTCACGCATAGGGTGTCTTCGGTGGCAATTGTGTTGTACAGGCTTCACGTACCTTATTCTCCAGGTGGTCTTGCTGAGCGCACAGCAATCTTGAAACACCTCGAAGGTGTGTCTGCAGGCGAGGCTGCGGCGGATGTCGTAGCGGCACTCAGAAAGTGGAAGCGACAGCTCTCTAAATCTCAAGAGATGCATTTGATGCCACCGGACGCGAGTAATATTCTTCGTGGCGCCGAGGTGATCTCGGCAGCTTGTGCACAGCGGCATCCTGAGATGAGCTTTCGTCCGTCGCTAGCCAGGAACGAGTTGCAGCTCCAAAACAAACCGACGAACGAGTCCGTCATGAAGTTCTACGACCACCTCTTGCCCGAGATGCAGCAGGCCTTGCCGGCTAAGTGGGCGGCCAAGGGAACGGGCGGGGATCCTCCAAGGATCAAGGCGAATGGAGCTGGAACAGGAGAAACTTCCTCGTCTGCGAGCCCTACTTCCTCGCCTTCAGGGGCCAATGGCAAGGAATCAAGAGCCCTCGAACTCATTGCTTGAAATCGAAACCCGTAAGCTTGAGCAGCTCAAGGTCAACACCCTGGAGACGGAGATGAAGTTCTTGGGTGTGGAGGCGGAAGTCACGTTTGAGACCAAGCTTTCAAAGTATCGGAGGACGGGACGCCGCGCAGATGGTTTGGGAGCTCCGATGTCAAGGGACTCTTCGTTTGGTGAGCTGACGGAGGCTCAGCGCTGCTCACTGGTTCAAAACATTGAGAGGAGTGACGCTGCTGGCATTTGCTACTTGAAAGCACTGCCCATCAAGAGGTCTTTGAGGAGGAGGCTCTTGTCTTCGCAATGGATCGTCAGCCTTTATGGTGGAAGCGGTGAAAGGTCAGACCGGTCCGACCACAAGGCCTTGGAGGAAAAAGGTTTGGTGCTACTGGAGCTTGATGTCAAAAGGAGCAAGGCTTTCGATCTCAGGGAGCCTAGCAGCTCTGCACCGTAAAGTTCGTGAAATCCGAGGCCAGACTGCTTATGACTACGGCCTAAGCAGACCCTGGCCCTTGGCAATGATGTACGCCACCCACAAGCAGAGACACTTGGCTCTTGGAAGATCCGAGCATCTACCACCCTTTGGTACGCCGGTGTATGTGCGCACAAAGATTTATTTATGGTCGGGCTGGCAAGCACGATGTGTCTAGCATGGTCATGTGGTCAGGTTTGCAGATGGAACGTTCGTCACCAGCTTACACCCAAAAAGGGACCTTGTGAATGCCGATGAATTTGTGGACCTCGAGCCTCGAGAAGTTGAAGTTCCTTTACCTGAAAGAAGGGTTCGTGCGAAAACAAGGTTGTCTAAACTGTTTGGTGTGCACCCGTTGACGATTGAGGAACGAGCGGGCTGAGAATGAGGCCAAGAAGTTTTGGTCGATCGAGGCGATCCTGCGGCTATACGACTACCTGAAGGCTATCCAAGGCCACCGCCCCTCCGAAAGAGCGTCTTCACCCAATGGAACCTCATGGTACACGGGCATTTTTGTACATGGTGGTGTTGCGGGTTTGCGGTCCTCTACTACGCGGTTCAAACGGTGCACAAGATACCTTGTGGAGGCAGCAAAGAAGAGCAATGGACACCGTGAGTTCACAGCACTAGGCCTGATTGGAGAATATGGACATTGGTTGCCACAAGGACTCACACAATGAAGTGGACAGCTGGAACGTGGTTACTCTGCTTCATGCCCCAGATTGTGGAGGAGACTTACGGGTGGAGCATGAGGAGCTGGATGCAGAGTTTGCAGAATGGAAGCAAGTCTCGCACAAGACGTGGAAGGTCACATACATCGGCCTGATTTGAGACAACCCTTCCAGTTTTACCCTCGACGATGGCATGAAGTACAACCTTGGACAGGACTGAGGGTGGTGGTGGTTACCTACACCCCACGAGTCAGCAAATTTCATTATTTGGACCGCGACGTCATGGAATTTGTTGGCTTTGAGAGTGGTCCAGAACCCAGACGCGATCCACAACAACAGTGTCCAGAACCCAGATGTGATCCACAACAACAGTGCTTTGACTATGGCTATGAGGGCAGCCAAGCAAGGAGTTGTTCGATGATGCTCTACTGGCAATGACCGAAGATCAAGATCAGCTAGTGACACTGGAAGATCTGCAAGAGAGGTCTGAAAGGCTGCGGTGGAAAATTGAGAAAGAGGAAATCTTCGCCGAGGAATGTCGCCGAGCAGGTCAGCAGATCTCTGATGATGTGGACCATGTACAGGCTTAGTTAGACGACATGACTGATGAGGTGAGCAGACTAAAGACAGC